ATAGGGGCGAGGGGGGTGGGGGAAGGACGCCGCGACACCCTCATACCCTCCCCCACCCCGCCCCCTGTCCCCCGCCCCCCAGCGGAGACGCGGAAAACCACTCGCAGCCAGAGAGACACCCGGACACAAAGACCTCGTGCCAGCCGCAGACCCAAGTTTCTCCCAGAGAGACCGGGGGTCCGCCCGCGTTCACCCTGAGAACACACAGACGGACTGACAGACCGATGCACGGACCCCGCGACCTCGACACTCGCTAGAAGACAAGCTGTCTTCCTCAGCCGGGCGCCCCTCGTCTCCCGCTCTCTCCACGGACCCCTCTCCTGGCAGGTCGCCCTCAAAGCGAGCCTGGAGATACTAGGGAAACTGCAGCCCCGAGGGTGCCCCATCCTGGGAGCCTGGTTGTCTGTGGGTACCCCGCAGTAGTGACACGGGAGGACCGGGGGAGTTATACCCCCACCCCTGGTCCCTTTCGGGTCTCTCCTGGCTGTGGGCCAGGGGACTGGCCCGAGGCTGGCTTCCAATCCAGAATCCGGAGCTGGAGAGTTCTCTCTAGGTTTTGGGGCTCCTGGGACTGGTGCTTTGGGGAGGGGAGTCCGCAGGACGGGAATCCAAGAGGGAGAGGGCCCTGGGTCTCCCGTTACCTGCGCCTGCCGCACTGGGACTCCGCTCTGGGGGCTGCAGCTCGAAGCTCCGACAAGTCTCCACGTCCAGCCCGAGAGGGGGCGGCCGGGCCCGGCACAGCGAGGCGAGAACTGCGAGCGCCTCCTGGCACCGAGGCCCGCCGGCCCCCCACACCCCGCTCATGCCCCAGACACCCAGGCCTGCCGAGCAGCAGCTGGAACCCGCGCCGCGGCCGCACTGGGGCGGGGCACTACGGCCCCTAGAAGACCCTTCCTGCAGCGGCCCCCTGAGGCTCCGCTCTGCTTTTAATCACTTCCCCACAGGGTCCCCGCCCCTCACGTGGCATCCCGCGGCAGCTGGCAAGTCTGGCGCCTCGCGGCCGCCCCCTCTACACTCAGGGACTGGCCTGAGTCAGGGGAGGGGGTTCGAGGCAGGGAGCAGGGCTGTCCCGAATCTCGGAGGGTGCAAGGCCGGTAAAGAGCCCGGGTTCCCGCTCCGCATTCACTGCTTGTTGTGACCTTGGGCGTCTCTGCGCCTCAATTTTCCCCTCCGTAAAGGAGGTGTAATGATTTTAAGTGCTTCACGGGCTGCCTGGCAATAGAAAGATCGTGTTTGTGAAAGCACTGGGTAAACTGCCACATACCACACAAATGGCAGCGAAATAGATAACCCTGAAACAGAAAGAGCGGCGGTCAGGCTGGGGCTGGAAGGGCCTTGGCGGCTGTTCCTGACGGGAGAAGTTATACTGGCCCCAAGTCCCAGCTTCGGAGGTAGAAGACCTCAAGACAGCCGGGCGATGCGAACTGCAAGACTTTCAGAGCTCCGCAATCCTGCGGTCCGCGGTACCCGCGTGTTGCTATGGCGACTGGTGCCAGCGGCCGTCTCTCTCCATGGCAACGGGAGGGGAAAGTTTCTCGCGAATAGGAATGGGGGGTCATTTTAAGAGGGCGCAGGGCGCTCAGTTCCGCCGGCCCACCTCCCCACTTCTGTGCAACAACTCCAGAGACCATGTATCTTTCTACTAAGCATAGCAAGAAAGCGAAACGCAAGGATTGAGGCTAGACTTAAAGTAGAGATTCCCTCAGAAACTGTGGGTGAGGCCCAGGAGCAGACTGGCTGAGGGGCTTCAAGGCTCCTCACTTAGCGCTGGAAGTCTGTACACCATGGTCAGGGAGGCCGCGGAACCGGCGCCCTGCAGGGGCCTGTCACGGGAGTCTCTTGATCTCCACCTGTCGGCGTTTGGCCCCTTCTGTGTGGGGCTCGCCTGAAGCCCCAGACTCCGGTCCATTTGCTCTCCCGGAGCTGGGAAGGAAACTTTAGCTGCAGCCTCGGAAACCGCTGGGTTGGTGTATGCCCGAATGGCTGGTGAAGGAGGAGGGTCTTGCCTCTTAATTAACACGCTTATTGGAAGTGACTCGGGCAGTGACTTAGGTTCCGGAGGGAGGAGATTCGGGGCCCCAGCTCCTGGCAGTCTCCACTGTGAGCCATCTGTGCCAGCAGGCCCTTGGACTTGCGATTCCCTAGTAGCTAGTGCCCTCGGCACCAAGGGCCAAGACGTGGCCTGTGAGGACCCTGGCTCAGGCAGGCGACTTTTCCACCGTGAGGCGTTCTCTGGCTCTGTCCACGGTGCTGAAGACCCAGTTGGTGCTACCATCACGTGGGCACTGGGTTAGAGGATGGGGGAGAGGCAATTGTGGAAGGTTCTCATCTTCCACCCTAACCCCTGGGCCTGTGATAGGAGGGGGCTAGGAACTCAGGCAGGGACCAAACAGACACACACCTGCGATACTGTACAATCCAGGCCGCCTTCCTGCCGGAGGTGTTTGGTTGCTGTTCCAAGAACAGGTGGGGCTCTGGCAGCCCCATTCGCCTCCCTGGTGCTTCTGAAAACCCACCTGAGGAGCCCAGAGGCCTCAATACCTTGTTTTCTATCACCCTATGCAGATCTCAGCACCCAGGAGAGCCTCTGGCTACACGCTTATTAGCAGTTTCCGAAGTGGCAGGTTTGTGTTTATGTAAAGTACAAATGGAGAAGAACTGCTCTTTGCCCGTGTTTATGGCAACTCTGTCACTCCGCTGCTATTTCTTCCTCCCCCTCTAGAGTTCCTGGGGAAATTCACAGAACAAAGCGTCTTGTTTTGCCTTTGCAGAGAATGAAAAAACACAGGACTATTCCAAGGGCCAGGACCTGTGATGCAGGGAAATCAATATTTTGCTTACATCGAGTGGGGGAATTTGCATCTAAACTGAAGCCAAAGGAGCTTGTTTGGAGCAGAGCAGGTGGCAGGAGCTGTGAATTAACAGATAATTTTTCATTGTTTCCAGATTCAGCCTCCACACTCGGCAGGCGGCTCTGCAGCGTCTCTGGCGCCCCGGCAGCACCTCCGGACCTGGCATTTCTCAATCTAACAGTGTGAAGGAGCTGCTGCCCTGATAGGGCTGTGGAAACAGGATAGGGCTCCTGTGTCAGTCAACAGCTATTGAAGTTGGAGTGTAGGAGTTAGGGCGTGTGAGAGACACAGAGATGAGAGAGACAGAGAGAAAGAAACAGAGACACAGATAGAGACAAGTTACAGATATAAATGAGAGAGACAGAGGATGAGACAGAGATACAGAGAGAGTTATAGGAGATAGAGACCAGAGAAACAGACAGGAAGACAGACGCACAGATAAGGAAGCACATTCAAAAGGAGACATTTAAAAAGTATTTTTAAACATTAAGAAAAAGCCTTATCCTAGTTGTCCTCTTTAGCCCGCCCTCCCCCTTCTCCCAGGTCAACTGCTGATACCATTGTGGTCACATAACCAGCCACAAAACAGAAAAAAATTCCTCATGTAAATATAGTCACTTTTTTGTCTCCCAAACCCATTTCCCCTGCAAACCCAACCCCAAAACACACCTTTGCTTCTTCCCACATGAAGAGATCAAATTCGGAATCCCAGGGTTCCACCAAAACCTGGGAGGGAGGATCCAGGGTCCCTCTCAAACCCAGAGAGAGAAAGAGGTAGAAAGAAGTGGAATCGTTGCCCTTCAATTCTATGTCTCAGAGAAATCCCATTGTGAGTTTGGGTTTGGCAGGGGGAGGGGAGAGAAGCAGGAGCAGAGACAGTAAGCATGGAGTGGTGGCAAATAAGTACATTGGACAGGGTCTGGGAGGGCTGGATTCAGGGCTCCTGCACCAAAGCAGCCATGAGGCTGTCACATCCCCTATCTGGGGCTCAGTGTGCCTATCTGAAGTTGGGTTAGGAGCTCTTTGAGATTCCTTCCAGCAACTGCACTCTAGGGTTTTACATGAGGGAGAAAGGAGGATGCTGGGGTGAGGGGAGGAGAGAGGCAGCCTTTCCTGGCTCTGAAGCTCGCGTGGTTTTACAGAGGCCAACTCACTTTCAGCTCCCCAACCCTGACTGCTCTCATTACATCTATAGCCATGGATGGAGCATCCCAAGTCAGGGCACCCCCAGGACAGACTGCTCAGATGCAGGAAGAGGAGCTGGGGTTGAATGGGAGGCAGAATGAGAGGAGGTTTGAGACAGAAACCAGAGGCCTCCCACTCCGATGCTCTCTTCTCTGTGGAAATAGCCAATGTGCTCATCCCCTGCGCCCACCTTAAGTCTCTACCCTTGGGCAGGCTACCACCCTGCTCTAAGCAGCAATGTCTTGTTGAGTTATGTTGCAAATAAAATAAATTAAAACCAAATAATAATTTCTTTCAAAAAATTGAACCTTGGTAGGAAATTGCTAATGCTGTAGGCGGGAAGAAAGAGCTCCTTTGACATGAGCCGATGTGTCATATTGTCTTTCCATTTCAATGCAATTTCTAAATAGGGAGCCCTTTCCCCATTCCCTCCTCCCTCCAAGCCCGCAGCAGAAATGTAAAGGGAGCAGTCTGACGATTGTAGCTGGATTGTCTGACGTGTAGGGAAAGACACAGAGGAATAGACACACAAGAACACCTACAGCTTTGCCACATGGATAGAAGCCAAGGAGGCTCTGAACCAACCCTGAGGGCCCCAGTCTCTTCTCCCCACTTCCCCCATCCCCTCAGTAAGCTACATGCTTACTGAGGCATGTAGCCACTTTCTGCGGAGGTGTTAGTTTACTCAAGAAAATGGACATCAGTTGAACCTAGGCTATCGCCATTGGAGAATCGAGTTGATGTCTTGTATTTGAGGGTGTAACTTTATATCATTATTTGGAATAAACTGTACTGTGCATTCCCGATGGGGTTTCAGCCAGAACAGCTTTATCAGTATTTCCTGCAGATGCTGCCCTCTCCCCCAGCCTCATACCAAGATAGCAAATGTAGCCAAGGCTGGGTGACTTCTGCAAATCATGCTGTCTCAAGCCATCATCAGAGTTTTCAGGGATTCCTCCTAACCTGAGAAGACGCAGAAGACATTGCAAAGCTCAAGGTCAATGCCTCGGTGCTTTTTGAAAGAGTCCATTCTTGCTTTTATTCCAAGAAAGATGCTTGGCAGTTCAAAGATCCTGAACCAAGCTATATTTGCCTCTCTCCCATTCCTCCCCCATTTCAGTGTTCTCTCCTCTGTTCTGTGCTCTCTGCTAGAGCACACAATGTTGCACATCAGACCTGGGAAGATGGGACAAAGTTTGCTGCATCCAGCCTGGCTTTGAGGGCAACAGCAGGTTGGAGTTTGGGAAAGCAGAGACAGGTTGAAGGTCAGAAGGCAGTATCATCCTTCAAACAACTTTAGAGCTAGGCCTAACCATGGTGGGTCGAGGTCTGTCTTCATTATTGAGAAGTGAAGATGATGTCGGAGGGGAAAGGCTAGGAAGGGAGTCAAATAGTCCTCTTCTCTCTGACCTTATATGGAAGAAACAGCATGGGCTCTGGAGCCAGACTCAGACGGATCTGCATTCAAATCCTGGGTCTGTTATTTACCGACTGGATGGCTTTAGGTGCTGTACTTAGCTTGCCGAACCTCAGCTTCCTCATTTGTAAAATGGGACATATAAGGCCTGCTTCATAGTGTACAAAGCAAGGATTACATGAGTTGGGTTAAATGCTGGAGGTACTGGGACTGATCCATAGCAAGTGTTAACCAAATGCCAGTTCCTGTCCCCTTTCTTCCCTTTTATCAGAATGTAGAGGGAAATTTATCAGGTGTACTATTCAGAGGTTAACCTATATTCTTCCATGGGACAAGTCCCTGAAAATTGTCCAGAAGGAATTTATCTCATTTAATTCTTATAAAAACACGGATAGGCAGAATGGGCGGATGCTAATGATCCATCTGGTAGATGAGGAAAATAAGAGACTGGTTCCTGGTCTACAAACAAGGAGGTGGCAGAGAACTGGAATTCAGGCCTTCAGACAGCAGATCAGTGCCCCTTCCTTCTTCAACGTGCTGCAGGAAGATGGTGGGGATGTGAATACTTTTTCTTCTTTTCTTACAAGAGGTTATAATATTCTTTAATTGCCTTTATAATAAATTTAAAAAATTGGAAATAAATTACAATGCAGTGAAAGATATTTTCCCGTGCCTCTTTGCAGTGCTCTTGGTTCTTTGACCTTGGCCATTCAGTTGCCTCTTGGACCCAGTTACTGGTTTAGAGGAAAGATGGTGTCATTGATAAAATACGGGGTTGGGGCCAGGCAGCTTCATGGCCCAGGACAGGATTGGTTGCTTTACTCTTGACAGAGGTCGGACTCCTCAGAGAGCAGCTTGGGGTTCCTCTGTGCCTGGATTGTGTCCTGTGGTCAGAACCCTGCTTCCAGGAAAGGGCCAAGCCAAGATTCTCATAAGACCAGGACCCCAAAGACTGGAGCTTTCCTCAAGGAGCCTGGAGAGAGTTTGCAATCTCGGGTCTCTGGCTGTTCCGTTAATGAAAGGAAACCAGATAAAATGCCAGAATGAATTAAAATGACAAATCCGAAAAGGCCCTGTCAAAACTGGGAAGTCTTAATTCTTGATTTCAACAGAATTCAGGTAGGAAGACTCAACAGAGCATGCTTTGGGTCAGTGGACTGAAGTCCCCCATGGAATTGACGTGCTGGAGTCCCGGAGAGAACAAATCTGTTTACCAAATTCCAGCTTCCATCCGTTTGGTAGAATAAAAATCCTTTTCTATCCCAGCCCCTAAGCCTTATATACATTGCTGCTATTTGCTAGAGCCACAGTAAATGGTTTTAATGAGTCAGCCCCCAGCCTTTATTAATACTTCTGTACCTTTGTAGTGCGTGGTACAGTTTACACAACACTCTTACATATGTTATCTCATTTCATACAACAACCCCAAGAGGTGGATATAATTATTCTCATTTCACTGATGAGGTCCCAGAGAAATAACTGGCTTGGGATTCACAGCTAGCAGTGGGAGAGCCAGAGCTCCAGTCTCTTCTCATGTCACTCGTTCGCTCATTCAACATTTACTGAGGTCCTACTAAGACCCAGTCTGCACCAGGCACATGGGATGCAGTCCTGTGCTGGTTCCTGTATACACTGGCCTTCAGCCACATCGCATACAGAGCCCTGAGCATATGGGCTCTGTCCTGAGGGAGTGTACACCATCGGTTGTGTAGAGAGGCTGCGTGTGAAATGGATTGAAAATGAGTTCTTTGACCTCCTTGAATCACAGTTGCACAACCCACAGGAACTGTGAAATTCCCTTCTGACATGATTCTCTCCGGATTTTCCTCCTGTCCTGCTGCTTTCACTCTCTTCTTTGCCTCCTCTCAACCCTCTGTTTTCTCCAGGGTTCAGCTCCCAGCATTTCTTTCTTCTGTCTCAGCAATTTCCCTCTGAATGGTCTTACCCACTCCTAGGGCTTCAAATACTGAACAATGACAACATTAATAGCAGTGGTAAACATTTACTGAGCACGTTCTCTTTTCCAAGCTCCATGGTGCCTGCTTAATGTGGATTACATAATTTAATCCCCACAACAATCCTATTATTATCTGCAATTTGCAGGTACCAAGTGATAGAGCCAGAATTTAAACCCATGCGGTCTCACTCCAGCGCCCACCCTAAGGATTTCCAATTCTGTATCTCTGACTCATCTCTCTCTCCTTGCTTCTCCATGTGCATTTATAAATTTCTATTCTGAACACCTTGACCCCAGACCTTCTGAATGCAATACGTATAAGACAGAAATTATATTTTCCTTCACAAACCTGCTTCATTTTCTTAAAGAAGGCTATAATGAAATCAAATTAGTGGCTCAAACTAAAAACTCAGAGCCCTCCTTGAGGCTTCCCTCTCCCTTATTCATCTGCATTTGTCCATGACTGAATCCCGTTGTTCCTATTTCTAAAGTGTTTTGAACCCCTTCCCCCTCGTCCTTGGATTCACTGTCCTTGCCCTGGCTCCAGCACCCAGCATCCCTCTTCCAGATCACAGCAGTTATGTTGTGGGATAATGTGATTATGTCACCCTCTCCATTAAAATCCTTCACAAAATTCTTGTGGCCTTTGAGATGAAGTTAATACCCTCCAGTATGGCAAACAAGGCCCTTCCAGATCTGGCCTTCATCTACCTATGTAGCCTTCTCTCTCGACACTCCTGGGTATCCCCTGTGGACTACCTGTGCTGTGGTCACAGAGTGACAATTCCTGTCCCTTGTCTTCACTCTCCACCCCATCTTCCGCCCTTTCACTTACTTTGTTCCTGCAGTTCCTCTTCTCTCCCATTCCAGAGTCTAAAACTTTGTGACTGCTTGTCCCTCTGCTCCGAACACCTTCCCTCTTTTCCTCATCACCCAGGTTGTTCCTACTGGATGCAGTGGTACACACAGGTTAAGACTGTAGGCTTTGAACATTATGCTGAATGGGCAAGGGCTGGAAGCATTCCCGTTGAGAACCAGAACAAGACAAGGATGCCCATACTCATCACTCTTATTCAACATAGTACTGGAAGTCCTAGCCAGAACAATCAGGCAAGAGAAATAAATAAAAGGTATCAAAATAAAAGGACAGGAAGTCAAACTAACTCTCTTCACAGACAATATGAAACAATACCTAGAAAATCCCATAGTCTGTGCCCAAAGGCGCCTAGATCTGATAAACAACTTTAGCAAAGTTTCAGGATACAAAATCAATGTACAAAAATTAGTAGCATTTTTATACACCAGTACCATCCAAGCTGAGAGGGAAATCAGGAATGCAATCACATTCACAATAGCCACAAAAATAGTAAAATACCTAGGAATACAGCTAACCAGGGAGGTAAAAGATCTCTACAAGAAGAATTATAAAATATTGCACAAAGAAGTCAGAGGTGACACAAACAAATATACAAACATTTCACACTCATGGATAAGAAGAAGTAATATTGTTAAAATGGTCACACTGCCGAAAGCCATTTACAGATTCAATGCTATTCCTATCAAACTACTAATGATATTTGTCACAGAATTTTAAAAAATCTAAATTCATTTTAAACCAAAAAAAGAGCCTGAATAGCCAGAGCAATCCTAAGCAAAAAGTACAAAGCTGGAGGCATCACACTGCCCAACTTGAAACTATACTACAAGGCCACAGTGACTAAAACAGCATGGTACTGGTACAAAAACAAACACATAAACCAACAACATAGGTTAGAGAACCCAGAAATAAAGCTGCACACCTACAGCCATCTGATCTTTGACAAAGCCAAGAAAAACAAGCAATGGGGAAAGCACTCCCTATTTAATAAATGGTGCTGGGATAACTGGCTAGCTATATGCACAACATCAAAACTGGACTCCTCTCTTTCACCACATACAAAAATCAACTCAAGGTAGATTAAAGACTTAAGTGTAAAACCTAAAACTATAAAGACCCAGAAGAAAATCTACACAATACCCATTCTAGACATTGGCCCTGGCAAATACTTCATGACAAATACTCCAAAAGCAATTGCAACAAAAACAAAAATTTGCAACTGGGATCCTAATTTAAAAAGAGTTTCTGCACGGTGAAAGAAACTATCAATTGAATGAACAGACAACCTATAGAATGAGAGAAAATATTTGCAAATTATGCATCTGACAAAGGTCAAGTACCCAGAATTTTATAAGGAACTCAAATACATCAACAAGCAAAAACAATCTCATTAAAAAATGGGTAAATTATATGGACAGACACTTCTCAAAAGACATACAGGCATCCAACAAGCATATGAAAAAAGTACTCAATATTGCTAATCATTAGGGAAATGCAAATCAAAACCACAATGAGATACCATTTCTAGCCATGCTGAATGTCTATCATTAAAAAGTCAAAAAATAACAGATGCTGGTGAGGTTGTGGGCAAAAGCACTTATACACAGCTAGTAAGAATATTAATTACTTTAGCCACCATGGAAAGCAGTCTGGAGATTTCTTGAAGAACTTAAAGTAGAACTGCCAGTTGACCCAACAATTCCATTACTGGGTATATACCCAAAGGAATATAAATTGTTCTACCACAAAGACACATGCATGTGTATACTTATTGCAGCACTATTCACAATAGCAAAGACATGGAATCAACCGATTCCCATCAACAGTGGACTGGATAAAGAAAATATGGAACATATACACCATGGAATACTACGCAGCTATACAAAACAAGATCATGGCCTTTGCAGCAACATGGATGGAACTGGAGGCCATAATCCTAAGTGGATTAACACAGGAACAGAAAACCAAACACCACGTGTTCTCACTTATAAGTGGAAGGTAAACACTGAGTGCACGTGGACACAAAGAAGGGAACAATAGACACCGGGGTCTATTTGAGGGTAAAGAATGGGAGGAGGGTGACAATTAAAAAACAACCTATCAGGTATTGTGCTTATTAACTGGGTAGCAAAGTCATCTGTAGACACTCAATTGACCCATGCAAAAAACCTGCACATGTACCCCTTGAACCTAAAATAAAAGTTGGAGGGGAAAAAAAAAGAGTATAGGCTTTGCAGCTAGATTGCTTGGTTCAAATTTTGGATCTGTCATTCAATTGAATAAATGACATAGTAGCAGTGTGACCTTGGGCAAGTTACTAAACCTCTCTGTGCCTCTGTTTTCTTGTCCATAAAATGGACATAATAACAGTACCTCTCTCATTAGTTTACTGGGAGGTTTAAACGAGTTGATATAAACGAAGCACTCAGAATATCCCCTTCCTTGACTTCCAGAGCTGACTCAGATATCCTCTTTCT